TTTTTTTTTTACTTTTTGTAGCTGATGATGATGCTGCAAGAAACGAGTCACGTTTGAGTATTTGAACGATTACATTATCTGAAGTGACAGCAACTCGGGAAATATTTGTTTTTGTTAATTCTTGTAGTTGTGTTTACGTCAGAAATAACATACTATAATCCCAGTATTTGTTCATTCTCGTAGTTGTGTTTACGTTAGGAATAACATACTATAATCCCACTATTTGTTCATTCTTGTGGTTGTGTTTACATCAGGAATAACATATTAGAATCCCAGTATTTGTTCATTCTTGTGGTTGTGTTTACATCAGAAATAACATATTAGAATCCCAGCATTTGTTCATTCTTGTAGTTGTGTTTACGTCAGGAATAACATATTAGAATCCCAGTATTTTTTCATTCTTGTGGTTGTGTTTATATCAGGAATAACATATTAGAATCCCAGTATTTTGGACACTTTGTTTGTAGCATAAATCCACATAAAAAATCAAATGAGTGTAAAAAAAGAAGGAGGACCACATGTATTGTCCCCCTGCTACAAAATGTGAAGAGGACCTATTCCCTATCCTTCCCGCGATTGATGCCTATAGATAAGTCGTTTATGCTTATATATGTATGATAGTTGCACGTTATTTTAACGTCAAAATGTGTGAACATGTGGGAGTTTCCTTTTAAATAAATATAATTCCTGTTGTTTTTTTCTGTATTGTGCTTAAAGCGTGAAAATACAAATCCTCCATTTTTGAAGACAGTTTTGCTCCAGTCCATGTGTTAGTATGTGTTTACATAGGAAAATACCCATAGCTGTTTCAGTCCCTATCTTCTCCTGTATATAGTGTGTGTGTGTGTGTGTGTGTTAGTATGTGTTTACATAGGAAAATACCCATAGCTGTTTCAGTCCCTATCTTCTCCTGTATATGTGTGTGTGTTAGTATGTGTTTACATAGGTTTAGTATATATATGTGTACGTATATATACTATTGACATATATATATATATAGGTGGCCCCCAGGTGGGACAGCGGTACTTTTACGGGTTTACAACGCTAAAATCCGGGGTTCGATTCCCCCACAGTGGAAACAGCCGGTAGCCCAACGTGGATTTGCTCTAAAATACACACACAATATATAGATGTATTTTATTCATATATATCGCTATATATGTATTCATAATAATATTTCTGGACTATATCTGAACAATACAGATTTATTTTCTTGTAGTTTTCATCCTTGTTTTTCTGTTTATTGAGGAGCGTCTAACAGTACAGAAACGTTGTAGCCTGTCATTATTTTTATCATGCCACTAACGTTTCTCTTTCTTATCAAGTTAAGATTTCCGTCCAATGAATCTATAGCGAGTGATTTGAATCTGTTTGATAACAGTTGGTCTAGAATTGCCTTCAACCCGATCTTTCTTTCAAAGTTGTCCTATTCCCTGATAAAAAAAGAAGAAGATTTAATTAGGACTATACGAATCCCGATAAATGTAGGCGCGTATTTATCGAAATTTACTTGACAGCTGAAGTTATAAGATAAATGTTTCTCTTGGGATTCGCATCTTTCAGTGAACAAACTGAACTCCTATTTTGTCCAATCGACCACACTCTTTGAATATATTGTATACACTGTTTTAATCATAATTAGGAAATCGTATTTATGGGCTGATTTTTAAAAAGTTTAAAATTTTGTGGTGGCGGTATTTGGAAATTATTTGCTAAATTGGAAATCAGGATGTTTTTTTACTTTTGTCAGTCACTTTTAAGAAAAAGAAGAGTATGAATTATGGGTTTAAAACTTGTTCATAATAACGTAAAAGCTCAATAAAATATTTTTTTATAGGCCATATGTGATACTTTATTGTTTAATAACGTGCATGTGAACTGGTTTTCTTTTCTTTTCAAAAGAGATTTCAGACTGCGGGCACGTGTTTTAGAAAAATGTTCATTCAAATAACGAGCATATTAAACAGCTTCAGGCTTAAAATTTGTTTTCAGTGTTTAAAGAGAAAGTGACGTGTTTTTCTTTTATCCATAAGGTACATATGTTATACAGTTTTTGTGTTCAAAGTTTGTTTTGTCAACAGTCGAATAAAATAGCTCTTTCGAATGTTTCACAACTAAAGTTTTATCTTAGCGACGTATAACATACTATGTTTTTTATGGTTGCTAGTTATTGTTAACAATAACAGATAAATAATTCTTAATATGAGAGGATAATGTTTACCGCCGAATTTCCTTCTTCACCTTACCTTGAAAAAAAAAGAGCGGGAATTTCGATGGACGATTTATTATATTAATAGTGGCCTCATGCATTTACAACACTAATTTGACTGCTCCTTCATCCGTCAATGCTGGTATTGTTCTCTATCACATTTTATTGCGTCTATTTCGTTGTAACTAAGGCTCTTTATAAGAAGGTAGTGAATGGGCCAATTAATGTTGTAATTCCCCAAGTCTATTGGACAACACTTCTATAATGCAAATGTCTGGTTATAGTGTTATCATGTCTGATTGTGTATGTGTGTGTACAGTGGAGGACACACTTGTCGATAATTATAGCCTGATTGTTGGTGAAAATGAGTTACTGAGCACGATCTACGTTCATGTTTATCTGCAGAACAGTGCTGCATATACGAAGTATTCGTTTTAATTCTGTAAGCATATATTTATCGCACGAGTTCTGCAGGGCTCTAAGTTTAAGACAAACCGATAGAACAGTATCCAGGATAACAGAACAATTTCAGGCTTAATCGCATTTAATGTCTTCAATAAATAACTTATAGTGAAAAACAATTGGTAATAAAATTCGCTTGAAACGTTTTTATTTTTTTTTCGCTCGAGATTAAAACTGTTCACGATATTATTAGGCTAGCTGAGATCCTCGGGTTTTAAAGTCCTGTACTCTGAATGAGGTAGGCTAACATGTTTTCTTTTCTCAACGCTAGGTTAGCCGACAATTACTGTGCCTGTGAAGGCGTATGCTTACCCCGCGGGATCGTGTACGAACATTACCTAGAATTCTGTCGTCGGGAAAAACTTGATCCCGCTTGCAAAGCCACTTTTGGGAAGGTAAGTCGTATAAAAACTTCAACATCTTTGGTACGAGTCGTGCATGCTAGATTTTATTTTTACTTCAGTTGAGCATAATGTTGAAATTCGAAAACAATATCAACTTAAAATGAAACACTTAGATAAACAGACACAATGTTTGACAGCTTTGTTAGTTAAATGCGCAATATTACCGATAGTTTAACTTGAATACGCAAAAAACTAAAAGTCGTATGTGTTAATATTTCTGTTAAAGATAACAAGTATTTCGAGAAATAATAATAATAAAACACTTCTTTAGTACTTATAAAAACCGCTTTTTAAAAATATTCTAGTTTCTTTGGTTTGTTAAAAGCTAATCCCTTCGACTCCTGCCCCCCAGTGGCACAACGGTATGTCTGCTCACTTACAGCACTAGCTAAACCGGGTTTCGATACTCGTAGTGGGCAGGGCACAGATAGCCCATCGTGTAGCTTTGTGCTTAATTACAAACAAACAAAGCTTTGACTCCTAAATCCCACAGTGGCACAGCGGTAAGTGTGAAGGTTTATAACGCTAAAAATTTAGTTTCGATACCCATGGTGGGCATAGCACAGCTAGCCCATTATGTAGCTTTGTGCTTAAATACAACCAAGCATATAATCGACTCTCGAACCTGTCGTGGTATCTGTGCCGTCAAAATAAAATTTATTTCAATCTACTTATCTAGATCATCCGATTGAAGTTCCCTCACGTGACATCCAAGAGATTAGGGGCAAGAGGGCATTCCAAGTAAGTCACTTTTTCTGACTTTTTTTTTGTCTTACTGTATTGATATTTATATAACACTAAAAAGAGTCTTATTGCTAATTGAATGAGAATAACAACTGTGAAATTTTTATATAGGCCTACATATTTTCTTACAAAAATCTGGGGAGTTTCAGCCAAGAAGTGAGTGCGCGTGAAATTACTGGTAATCCGGCAATTTTCAGATACGAGCAAGGGAAGAGTTTAGATCTCTATCTAGAAAACAATATCATATACATTTCTTAATGACGATCTTTTCAACTTGAAATCAAAGTTTAACTAGGCCTGATCTTGTCATAATAAACTATTTTACCGATTTAAAACGCAATTAGGATTTAATATCTTTTATTGGCTATAGTTTTTCCCAATCAAAACACCCAAGAAAATGTAATTAACGTCTGTTTCGTAGCTGAGTAACAGGTAGCATTCCTAAAATATGGGATGATGGCTTCATTAAATCGTTACCCAAACCCTCTCCATCTTAAAGGCCATCGAATCATTGCCCTATAAAATATCATTGGCAAGATCCCAGAGAAGGCTATTGCTAAAAGACTTGTCCAGCAGATTGAACTGCTACTATCATAATCACTAAAGGGTTATCACAGTAGAAGAGAAACCTAGGTAAACGCTGCAGAACTTGCAGCTGGTGCACTGGAAGGCTTTGATGCTTAGAACACCTTAACAGTAGCTTTAGATCTGGAAGTTGGCTACAATAGTCCGGCTGTCTATTGTTATTGACAAAATACTCAGAATAGACATCATTGTAATATGTGTAATATTGGTCATAGCTACATTAATTACCAGAAAGACATCATTGTAACATATTGGTCATAGCTACATTAATTACCATAATAGACATCAGTGTAACATATTAGTCATAGCTACATTAATTACCAGAATAGACATCAGTGTAACATATTGGTCATAGCTACATTAATTACCATAATAGACATCATTGTAACATGTGTAATATTGGTCATAGCTACATTAATTACCAGAATAGACATCAGTGTAACATACTGGTCATAGCTACATTAATTACCAGAAAGACATC